TAAAGGTCCCTACATTGTTGTGCAAGTCTTCCCTGAATATGGTACCTACAAACTACAAACACTTTCAGGTGAATATCTAAAGTCACTTGTTCACGTGGACCGAATGCGAATTGCTAAAGGACATACATCTTCGTCCCCATGGTACGACCCAGTAGTTTCAAGACAAGAATGGCGCCAGGTGATGACAAACATCGGTCGTTCCGCTATCATACCCTCCGTCCCACCTGTTGCAGTAGAAAACGAACTCTCTTTCCCTACAATCACTCTGGATCAACCTACTTCCACCACTACCGAGCCTACTCTCCCACTTACAACAACACCTGCACAGATACTTGATCCGGTAGATCCTGTCACAATTACAAGCGAACCCGTTTCACCTGTCTTGCCTTCCGTGAATTTATCTGATCCTATACAATCCCCCATCATTGGTCCTTCTCAAGCAAATTCGGATTTCTATACTAAGGTCCAAGAAACCGTCGAACCTACTGCTCCTATTCGCACTTTTTCTGATACTTCGTCTGACGCTGATTACAATATCGACGTTGACACTGAAGAAGTTGAGCCTAAAGAAATTGACCTTGAAGATGTTGACAAGACCCCTAGTACAGTCATTAGCACCCCTATGACCGTTTGTCCTCCTCCCATTACACCTCTTGACACGGTTACAATCTCTCCTGAATCACTTGTGACCCAGCCTATACACGTTCAGAGGCGAACGTCAAGCCAGGAGGGGGGTAATGTCGCGGATAATAGCGTTTCTGAACAAAGACAGCCAATCGAGGTTGAATATAACCTTCCGTATATGTATAAACCAAACAAGAAAAGGTTTAAACCTCAGATAACCAACAATAGAAGAAAGAAGTCAAAGCTGAACTTGATTCGTATAAGGAAATTGCCTTTAGCGAAAGCCAAGCTGTTGTCGTATTCGTCAAGAAGCAAGGATCAATCAACACGAAGTATATAATTACTTCCTTCTTTATTTGATTTAGAATACATATTTTAGTATGAATAGAAAAGATATAAATACTGTGTTGTTGATAGATGTAAGTTCTTCATCTTAAGACTTACTTTATCAAAACACAGGTAATATAAAAATATAAAAATAATAAAAGATCTTAAGACTTACTTTATCAAAACACAGACGTCACTGCCTTCTAGAATATTTTCCCAGTAATATCATTGGCTAGAAAATATTCTATCGTCACCTGACCTGTACTATTGAACACAAACCTTAAGAAAATATCAATTTGACAATATAAGCTACGGCCATATAACATAGAAAGCACCGGATCCCGTCCGATCTCCGCAGTTAAGCTATGTCTAGACCAGTCAGTACTATGGTGGGGGACCACATGGGAATACTGGTTGCTGTAGTTTTGCTTTTTTTAAAAAAAATTATGAGTATACTTTGGAGAGGTTTATTTTTTGTTATTTGAATATTCATACACCTTACAATCTAAGATACACATGAGAATATATATATATATATATATATAAATATATAAATATATAAATACATACATATTCAATAATCATAAGGTTACTATACAAAGCGATTTAGTAGTTGCACTCTATGCTGTAACGTACACGACTCCAGAGCTTATATATCAAGATGTAAACACTACATACGTGTTACTAAATGATAATAGGTTATATCAGCTATATATGTAGACATCTTTGTATATATCCAAAATCTGTAAAGTAATCTCTACTCATAAAACTCTTACAAATGCATTTATTTCCTTTCAAAACCAACCTCAAAATGATCTCAAAGTATTTGCTGCGTATTGCTTTGTTTCCTTTCTTGATGATTATTCATTTTATTTTGTACGATATCTTATGATACAGCAACTTTATGAGCATAATTATCTTTCGACGGAATACTTCGCTGAAATAAAAATAATTCCGCCTAAAAAAAAATCTCTCGGAGCAACTCTCGGTGCCTCCTGGAGAGAAAATTAAAAAATATCATTTAAAACTCCGGATTGATACTTTTTGCAATAAAATTTTTTTATTTCTTTAAACTCATATTGGTCAACACGGTCCATGGGAGAGTGTCAAATTCCTTTATATCATCTTCTTTTTCATGACACTTTGAGGCGTATAATTGTCTTATCGATGCAATTTCATTGAAGTACGATCCAAGGCTTTTGAAAGCGGATTCTGTTGTTGGAATAACAATTCTTGCTATCTCACAAAAGAAAAACTTCGTTATCAATACTAAAGAAAGACATGACCGATTTGAGCTTTTGCTGTTGCATGGCTACTTGGGAAAATACTGCTAACCGATACTTATCTCGATTGCAACCATCAACAGAGGCGTTTCTTCCTTTACATTCACCAAAAAAGTTGTTCATCTTAACTTGACTTGTTACAACGTCAACTAGGTAGTCTGGCCGTGTACCATAGAAGTTATTTGATGTGTTCGAACAATGGGGGTGATGTCATGAATCAATCTTGAGTATACTTTTTACGAAATTATGTACGTAACTACATTGTACATGCATTTCAGACCTTTTCGTGTTTTGAACTGTCATTTCAGGCAACCTGTGAAAATAGTTAATATAAAAGACATTATACCACAGAGAACCACAATACATACAATGCAAGGATTACTTCAAGTATGCAAAGTACTACTTTGTCAGTCTTATACTTTTCATAAACTTCTGCTACTTTTAGCATTGTGGCCCAATAATCGAAATTTTTTTGATACTCCCAAATAATATCTTGTAAACAACCCAACGTTTTACGCGACATTTCAGTTGTTTCACGGAATTCGGATGACATCAAGTGATACAGGGATTGGTATGTGTCATTTTCAAGATAATCACACACACCTCTAACGCCATCAAGGAAAACAATGGAAGACAAGGACCTATTTCTTATTAGAAAACGACATTCCAAGTTCTCATTTTTTACTTACAAAAGCTTTTGAATATCTGTTCTCCAGTTGTAGAATTGTTCTATTTGAAACTTGGAGAGACAATCTTTTTGATACTGGAAAAACACCTTATTGAAATTAAGCTTGTCATCTCCAATAACAAGGCTATCCTCGACAGGTTCGGGAATCATCCAATCCATGATGCTCATCTCATCCAACAATCTTTTCACACCTCCAATTTCCGGTGAGCCATTGCTACTGCTGAAAGTACCATCAACCTGAATTTTTTAAAAAATCAATCACCCTTATAAGACTACATACGATATACATACCAATTTCTTTTTTCTTTCAACAGCTCGAAAGAGCTTTTCGTATACGCACCATTGAACATCGTCATGTAACTTAGACGGTAGGGGACAACCCTTTACTTCTACATACATATCACTGTAGAGTTTTACAAGGTTAGCTTTAAAGCTTCGAATGCTATCACCATCAACGACAGTTTCAATCTCATTACGAAAATCCATGATAAAAAGAATTAAATAGGGAATTTTAGTAACTTGGATAAAATAGCGAATTTGAGCGTTGAAGTCAGCCATCAAGAAAAAATAAAAATAAATGAAAATAAATGAACTTTTTTACTCTTTTTATTCGCCTTCACTGTACGACTCCCCTTAACTGGCAGACGTGGCAAAACGCGACTGTTTGGAACTACAGTGTTGATTCTCACATAGCTCGCAAGGCCGTGTCCCTTTTTTTTACGCCAACGTAACCTTTCATTTAGTTTCTTCTCATGTCAAACAATGTTTGTTCATTCCAATTTACATACACCCGAAAAACCTTATAACATATACTGGAACATCCGATTTGTATTTTCTTATCAATTCTCTTGGGTTCAAGTTAGGCTAAAACAATCAACCCCTGAAACGATTATGTAAAAACGCCAAAAAACAAGTTATGGCCGCTAAACCAACAAAACAGGAGTCTCTCACTTTCTTCGTCATATCAAAAGCATCCGCACTACCCGAACATTTACTAAGAAATTTTATATTTCTTTCACTAACAAAACATATCTACCAACACAGGATCGTCCTTCAACTTTTTTGTGGAAACCGAAGCGACATTAGCAAAAGGATACTGAAATAAGTGATTAGATTTGTATTTTGACAAAGCTTGTTTATCCTCTATTACATTTATTATTTTCCTCGTAGAAACAACATCCCACATTACGATCACAGAGAGCCCATATACTGCAACAGCTTTTGTTATATCTTGTTGGAAAATTCAGCTCATCATAAATTCTCTCTTTGTCACTAACGAGAAATAAATTAGGTTATTTTAGAAACAAGAAAACAGCTTTGAGTAACGCCTATTTCGGTATTTATGTCTTTTAATAATGGATTGTTAAAAAAACAAAAAAAGAAAGGACGATCATGCTGGAAAAAATAGTTAAACGTCTCGCGACTACATTTCCTGACCAACAAGACGGCAACAATATTGTAAAACAAATTCAATGTTGTGTGAATCTGTACAACTTGCACTTCCTGACGCAAAGTATGATGAAACTCGATCATTATTCATCTCGAAACAAGATCATCAATCATAGTATGTATCGCCCTTATCACTTACAAACATCCTCCTAACTTTTCAATAGTCCCATATTCGAAGCCATTAAAAAAACACTTTTCACAGGTGCCAAAACTTTTTTCTCTCTTTCAACAAGGTTCAGCCTTGCGGCTTTCTTAATGTGGGACATAAGATTACCTAGACAATTTGTAAAAGTAAGTCTATACACATCGCATTTTATTCCTATACTTAAACCTACACAAGGGCTGGTACAAAAACCGAACAGAAGCAGCAACTCTTGCATTTTTTTCTGCTCAAGATCAAAGACAGGCTCAAAACAAGTCAGCAACTGTATTACCATATTTAACTGATAGATTGAACAACAGCCTAGACTTCTTATCTGAATAAACAAAAACCAACTTTTTGAAGCAAATTTTCTTTTCTTTGTTATAGCTTCAAGATCCGAGTCAGTTATTAACGCAACAGTGTTCATCTGTAGCATTTTTTCTTTTAGCAATAAAGCTATTTCTGCCGTTGAGTTTCTTTTTGCTTGCATTTCTCGATCCCTACGATTTTTTATTTCTTCAGTAGAAAACTTGACATCTTCAATTGGAATATTTGGATCTGAATAAATAGTGTTGTGATGTAAGAGAGAAGATAAAAACAAAGAAGTCGATTAGAACTTGTATAGGTTTATTATCCAAAAATATATATCTATTTTCTAGCTCTTCATTCTCTAGGTATTTGTACATGAAGAGATGTCGGAGTAAGTATTAGTAGAGTTCATGCAAATCACTGAGTCTCTATTATCATAGACTACTTTAAATTAACTAAATAATGTAAATTATGGATTTCGGTTATGAGTCTTGATCTATTAAAAGATCCATTGTCTTATTCAGCACAAGAGGTCTTTTTATGTCTATTTCTGATGTAAATTGATTATGATATATTTTAGTATGTAACTGAAGACTTATTTAATGTTCAGATCATCACAATTGGTCTGTGCCACCTTTTTTCTTTCATGCTTCTAGACTCATTATTTAATTCAGCCATCGCTTATAGCTATTTTAAAGAAAAAAGGGGCAAGTACAGTTGTTCCAACGTCAATAGATTTTCCTAAAGGGCGGCTTGATTTTCCCCAAAAGGCAGTATTAATTCGTCCAATCATATCCTCAATTTTTGATAAAATGAGAAAAAATAAATGTTAAGATAGAATTGTTAATCTTAACATTGTTTTTTTTTATCTTAACAATATTTTTCTTCACCTTAGCAATTTATTCTGTTTCATATTATCAGTGTCGTCGGTGATTAAAACTCTAAACCACATAATTAAGTTTAATAAAAGCTCAAGCAATTTCAATTTGACTTGAATACTCTAAAACTCAAACTCTAGAGTGTTTGACTCCCCTCACTGTCTTCATTCCAGTGTTCTTTTTTCAAGAGAAAAATCAGTTTTATTAACGCTTTAACTTAAGTTATCTCTTCTTCATTTGATGATACGTAATGGAAAGTGATCTAGCATCCTTGTAATGCGTGTAGTGCCCGTTGGTACGTCCTTCATCGAAACACTTTTTTCAGCCCATGCGTTTGTGATCCTTCATCCAGACCGTAACGAATTCATCAACTATATCCATATCACGTTTTTTTCCTTGAGGCTTGATTTGTTGCAATACTTCAACTGCTTGCTTTCCGGCTGTTGGAGTCACTCCATCGGGAAGATCTGGAGGAGGAGGTAGGGCAGTTACTGAAGTGCTTGAGGATTGCTGTTGGTACTTGTACAAACATGTACTCATATACACCAAACCTGCACGAGCATAGTCCATCGCGCGTGTCGACGACGGGCCATCTTCATTTATAGCTTCAATTATTCGTTCAAATTGTGTTTTGGTTTGATTGCAAACATTCATGAAAACATCAATAGTGGCATCATAAATACGTATTTCATGATCGACTGTTTCTTTCGCGATGGCATATAATAATTTTACTGTGGGGTCGTCCCTGTACTCAAGACCAAGAAGGGAACATTGCTGCTCTGTGAGCACATACTCCAGCGCGACCATAGGATGAAGAGGCTCGTGAAGATGATTTGCAATGGTTGATGGAGTCAAAATGAGATGTTGCTGTGCCCAGTACTGATGTGATGTTTTGATAACAGAGAGTTGTATGATAAGATAATGTAGAGACAAAGATAGATACTTTGAGACTGTTTTATACAATTTTACTGTTCTTATTTTTGACTATATGTCTTTATCTATTAAAAGATACATTGTCTTATTCAGTAAAAGAGGTTCTTTTATGTCTATTTCTGATGTAAATAGTATGTAATTGAAGACTTATTTAATGTCAGATCATCACAGCATGTTCCTGCAATACGGCGGTCTTTTGATTTCTTTTCCTTTGTACGTACACTAAAACCGCCATTTGACAACGCAAATTTTGTTCCTCTCAAAAATGATGGTCGTAATTTCCGTAAGGTCATCACACAAGCTGCCTTGTCTGATATCATTGCCCGGCAAGAAGTTTCTTCTGCGGCTGGGAAGTACTTTTGGCGCATACCTATCACAACATTGCAGAGAAATGTGATGTATCGACTTCTGACTCACAAGATTCCCACTCGCTTACTACTATCCAAGGTTTTTCCTGCTCGCTTCCCTGCTGCTGCCTGCATTTTGTATGGTGATCAGGAAACGGTGTATCACTTCTTCTTTCGCTGCCCCAAAAAATTTCCGTTCTGGGATGCCTTGATCAGGGAGTTTTTATGGCCAGGCACCTCTCTGGATCTAGTTTCAGATGCACTTGCATCGTTCAATTTTTTTCGGATTCGAGCTCAAACAAACTGTCCTCTTTCAATAGCCATGGTAACCTTGATTGGTCTCTTTAAGATCTGGAAGGCCCATTGGGCTCATACCATGCAGAATCATCAGTTCCACTACCTTTCTGTCCTTCACAGCACTCGATATCAAATTAAGTGAATAGCCGCTGAGAAGGACCCTTCACCTTAAGAGGTTTCTCCTCGTAACAGCTACTCTTTTTTTTCTTGATTTCTTTGTACTTTTGAAATTGTAGTACCCTTTTTGTTTCTTTTGACCCTCTTATAATTGTCGAGCACCTCTTTTAGTGGGTCCCTCTCAAGACCACTAATACGTGCGGCAAATAAAATCCTTAAAAAAAATCGAGTCTTTGCTGAGAACTACATGAAGACGCGCTTATTCAGCTTTGGTGCAGTGACAAAAGCTGTAGATCCTTGCTTTCTAATTCTATTAATGTAGGAGTCATTAAGCTGTTACTAGCAGAATATTGTGTAAATGAGCATACATCTTTTAAGATCTTTGACCTATATCTCATTATTTTCATAGTACAATCAGCAAGCAACCACATTTGCCAAAAAACTATAGCTTTTGGTGCGCATTTTGAATATTTAAGCTTGTTGATAGCTCTACTTTCCGTCTTATAGCATCAAAAACAAGATTGAAGGTTGTCAAACCAACAACTTTCATGAGTAATATCCTTTGGTCAAAACGTATATTTTGGTCATTTTGGACATGTCGGATTTTTTTGGTCCAAATTGACTCCAAAGGTACCATGTATGCTAACGAACATTATTTTTAAGTATGTAGAGTGTTTAGGCGTGTATAAATAGATATTATGCTACCTTTATGCGATGATACGACCCTTTGTATGTGTCTATTCTTTTGATGAGCTCAATCTCATCATTGGTTAAACCAGGACTTTTATAGAGGAAATACACCCAATTCCAACGGCACGATGTCCTTTGCACGATATCATGAAACTAATCATATTTTCTGGCTGAAAAGAACCAATTTATTATATGTATACCAAATCTAAACCATTTAATTCATATGTCAAATGAAATACGCAATGAAAATCTATTGCCAATACCAAGTCTAGTACTTTTGCAAATAAGGAGCCTCAGAAAAGATGCAAGAAAATACATGGAAAGAACAATAATAATAATAATATAAAGAATACAATATTTTATTGATAAATAAAAAAAAAAAAAAAAAAGGAGCACTTTGTTTGGTTCTCAAAGACAAGCTTTGATACTAACAGGATCAACCACGAGAAGGTAAAAGTGCATCTGATCCCAAAAGGAATGAAGTTATGATTGCTTTGTAGGGTAAACTAATGTCCTTGCATGACTTTACCACGACCCAGAGAATGCTTTGCGTAGTGTTGAATCACCAACAGCTAACTTACAGGAAGACATTCCCCAACTTAGGCACCAGAAAACTCGATTCAATTGCTTTTGATCTTGATTGCAGTGGACCCAGTAACCACAACCAACATCGTTTGGCATCACCCAAACGCACCAAGAAACAACCAAATCGATGCCGCCTTGCAAGTGTACTGCGCCATAAAAGAGACAGAAAAGAGAGAATTGATTTTTTTGATTCACTTTGTAGAATGAACAAGACAACGCCAGACTTTAGGCTTCAATATCATGACTAACCAGTGCTTAAAAAAAAAAAGAAAACCAAGTCGGATCCGCCCATAACACCAATTAGCCGCAAACAGCCCAAAGTACAGAGAAGTCAGGATATCACACCATGTCCCTATACCGACATTTCAAAGACTAGTGTTTCATAGCTTTTGGCCATTCCCTAATGGAAATGTCTACGCAGCAAACCAAAGATAGCCATCAGGTAGTGAACCATGACCCACGACTTGCCCCGGCTGACCGGTTTCATTGATGATTGAATATACAAGTATACACTGGCCCAAGTATATAAAAAAAGAGGGTGTCAAGCTTATCCGCATAAAAGCAAGCCCGCCTTGACTACGGTATTGTACTGGACGAATAGGGAATCTTGTCAATCCAGACTAGCAAAGCCAGACTAGACGAAGCGCAAGTAACCAGCAAGTCAACTCAAGTACCCGTCAGCTTTGCCGTGAGGCTCCGCCCAGACGGCACCAGGCCCCTTTTTTCCAGCTAAGGACAAGTAGGTATACGAGAGCAACTTCACTCGCTTTGACGCACAATAGAGGGGTTCAGACACAGTATACAGGGTATACCATGCTTGCTCCTGTATCACAGCTACACTTGATTTGCAATCGCTTTACCACGTTCCACCTGATGAGGAAGAAGACATGTGCAAAACTATGACGAAGAAAATCCCCTCTTGCGAGAGAACCTAAACCAAATAAAGACGATCCAAGCATAACGGCGAGGATTGCAATACGGCGTTAGGTACAGTGTGGCCATAGACTAACAGAGCGGTATCAAAAAAGTACAATCACCAAGAAACTGAGGTCGACACGTGTACATGAGGTGATTCTAATACACAGACGCGTATAGGAGACGGTTAGGCGTATTGCAACATATAAAATGAAGCAATATTAACCCCAGTACAGACACGAAGCGAGAGACTCCCTCTTTGTAGAATATGCACATCCCTTGAACGTTGCTGTAGCGCGGTGTTCGCAGAATATGCTGCTGCCACACAGCTCTACCTCTCATTGAACTATAAAAAAATAGCAATCGCAACAGAAACTACTTGAGGAAGGTTTGGGGGTTGAAATGCCTCAGTCTATAATCGCACGTACAAGGACCCAAAGATCACAAGTACATGATAGACCTTATCATTTCTGTAGCAGTTTCTATAAGGAAAAAGAAAAAAGACTTTTTTTGCTGCGCGTTTGTTTAATGCGTCAGCATTGTGTGGCGGTGTTTATAATTTTAGCATGTGATAGAGATGGTCTTTTGCATAAAATAGATGAGATTATTGCTCTTATCAATGACAACAGATATAATCAAGGTGTTTCAGCACTATGAATATAAGGTAGTACTACTGTTTGGGGTCTACTTTGGAGTGGAAGAAATAAGCCAAAATAAATATGTCCTTATGCATACTAAATAAAGGCAAGGGACAGTTAGAGCAACAATTAGTAGAGCAAAAGAAGCATAAGAAAGAGTAAAGAAAAGCCAGAAAACTACAATCAATATATATATATATATAGTTTTCAACGAAGGTAATAGTCATAAGGAAGCACCAGCCAAAGGAATACAGACGATCCCAAGCTACACTACTAACTCTATAATTGAATCCAGTAATGAAAGGAACAAGGGCAGTATCCCTTCTACTTCAGTGATCACTCAAGAAAGCGTTAATATATTGACTTAGAAATCCTAATAATCCTTAAGCTATGTTACTCTTTATTTTGCAGTGTTCTTTTTCTGTCTGTATAACAATATTGGTATGCTCTGATACTTTTTTTGTTTATTTATTAGAGTACAACATATCAAATAACAATATTAAGGTATTCTAAAGCATTCTTTTAATGAATTGATCTGCTTATAAAGCAATGCGTTGTTCCCTTCATTTCTAGTTCTCTTGAAGAAATACATTCTCATTTAGCTGATATATCAATAGGCTTCATTTTTTGTTTTAAATAATCAACATCCTTGAATCAAAAACAAGAAATTCACTACTTTCTATGGCCATTCTCTTTTCTCTTTTAAGTAAGAGAAATAATCTCAAGACGAGAAGTCTTTGCTGTGTTATTCTACACAAAGATCTATCATTTCATGAAGGCTAATCTCATTTCACTCTCCGGTATACCTTTTTTTCTCTGTAAAACCTGTAAAATGCATTTTTTTCTTTTTCTTATTTTCATACTGAAATGACAACTTCCAAATACGAAGAATCAATAAAGGAACTTGGTTCTACTGACGATTCAAAACGTCTTAAAGCTTTGAGGTTCATAAAGAACTCTGTGATTGGCAACAAGACAAAGAAAGAACTTTATATTAAACTAGGTGTAGTCCAAAGGTATTAAATAGGCCGAAAAACACAAGACTTATGTCCTATAGACTTGTAGAATATCTCTCTTTGCCTGATAAAGATGCCTCAAGTGACCTCAAAATACAAGCTGCTACTATTCTTGGCAGTATTGCTTATGGTAAGCAAATTCGGGACTATTATGCATAAAAAAATAACGAGTTGTAGGTAAAGATGAGAATGTATCTACTGTAGTTGCTTCGGGTGCAGTAATTCCTTTGTTAAATACACTTGAATTACCGAACGACAGACCTCCACTTGAAAGTGTTATAGAAAGACGCAAATTGATAGAAGCCACTACGCGTGCTTTGAAGGCCATTTTCGCATCTTCGCATTCAATCAAATACGATTCATTTTCGGTAAAAAACAAAGGAGGGGGAAGAGAGAAGAAAAAGAGGCATTTGACTGACAAAATATTAGAGTAAACATATCCATAATCTTGTTTTATTGTTAGATATCACCTCGAACTATTTGGCTCGCAAATCTCAACAAACCAACATATCTTCAGAAGCCCTTTCATTTGCCATGATTGCCGAATTTACTGCTTCCATTATCGCCAAATGCTGCGATACACAGATACAGCAATTACAGTTAGAAGAAGCAGGTGCCATTCAACCACTTGTAAACCTGTTACATTCTGGCTGTATTAAGGCACAGGAAGCTTCATTGGATGCCATTGCTACCTTGTGTAGAGAGAACAAGAAATTGGGCGAACAAATCATTCGATCCAAATGTAAATAGACAGCATTTTTTAAAAAGGCGTATGTTATTTATCCATTTACATAGCTCTTCATTCTAATCAACTGACTACCAACACAATGCTTGATTTTGTAAAGGACAAATGTCCTAATATGCGATTGATTGCAGCCACATGGTAACAAGTGACTTGAGTTGGCCATCTTATTAACTTGCGCATTGACAGCTTGACCAACCTATATCGTACAGGTGTATTCTCAGAGCCTTTTAGTGAAATTACTCTGGTTGTCTTGCCAGCACTTGTCAAGCTATTACAGGATCCAACAGACAATGTTCAAGAGAAAGCACCACTTGTGTTGGCTGACTTGATCAAGGACAGTGAGGAAATGCAAAAAGCTGCTTTTGATGCAGATGCTATTTCTCGTTTAGCTGATCTATTGGCGAGTGTTTCTTCTAAAGATGCAGATGAAGAAGAAACACAGCCCTTGGGTGTATTTGGTGTAGGCAGTGTAGCTAAAAGAAAAGAAAAGATCAAAGAGGCAAGTAAAAATGAAACTTATCTCTGTATTGACGCTCTGTTTAGAATTCGCTGATTGCTATTGCTGCTGCTACTCTACTTAAAGAAGAGTGTCGTACACAGGCTATTGAGGCTAAAGTATTGCCTCATGTTATTTCTGGCTTAAACAGTAAACATCCCAATGTTCGCTTGGCTGCTTGCCAATGTGCCAAATCTTTATCAAGAAGTGTAAGTCATTTAAGAACAAGTTTAGTAGATGCAGGTATTGCACCTCCTTTGATTAAGGTAAGATAGACCTACAAAAAAAAAAAAAAAAAAAAAAAAAACTGATGCGTGGTATAGTTATTGTATGATGAATGTACTGTTGTTCAGGCTGCTGCATGTGGTGCATTGTGTAATCTCGTACTTGAGTTTTCCCCTATGAAAAAGAGTGTGATTGAAGCAGGTGCTATTGCTCGTTTTGTTGAATATTCTCGATCTGAGGACGCTAATTTGCAACTGAACGGTGTCTGGGCTCTGAATAATATCTTGTTTAGAGCTGATCTACAGGCAAAGAAGGCTGTGATGGATGTGTTGACCTACAATGCACTGATTGATTTAGTATATAAATCCAACATGAATATCCAAGAACAAGCACTCGAAATTGTGCGTAATTTGGTCTATGGAAAACAGCAAGATACAGACTGGGTAATTGAAGGCATTGGAAAAGAAGATTTGTTGGATGTGTTGGAAAGTAAATTACAAGTGACTTCTAATATGGGTATTGAAGAAGAAGATATAGAAGAGGCTGTGTCAACTGTAAGTGTATGCGATCATTATATAGTGTTACTTAAGCAAAAATATATATATAGCAAGTGTTAGTGCCTGCACTTTACATTATAGTCAACATGTCAAGCAATGCAGAACAGCCCAAGATGGCATTGATGAGTAGGCCTAATATCGTCAATAGCGTGATTCATCATTTGGTAAAGTATATGGATGACAAGCAAAGAACTGACCCGTTTAGTCTCATGAAAACCCTTCTGTTCGTTTGGCTGCTACCTGGTGTATTATCAACTGGACTTGGGCAAATGCTGAAGAGGATCAAGAAGGTAAATTTAAGTAAGAAAAACATGAAATGACCAACAGACTCTAGACTTGGCTACACGCTGCCGTCGTCTAAAGAACTTAGGCATTGAAGAAAAGTTAGAGGCCATGGAAAGAGATTCAAGCAGAGATGTTCGCGATAGAGCAAAAAGTGCATTAGATCAATACCGCGAAGTGATTGCTGATATGACAGTTTAGTCACAATAATAATAATAATAATAATAATAATAAATGATGGTATCAAACACTTTATTTTAATCTAAGCAGAACAGGCAGAATTATCAGCCTTAGCATTTAAGATGAGTGCAACAATTAGACCATAAAGACCAAGGACTTCAGCAAAAATCAGGATCAAAACCATAGTGACAAACAAACGGCTTTCTCTGACATATCCACGAACACACTATAAACAAAGTCAATACATATAAAACTACATAGAGCATGACTTACATAATCACCAACAATACCAATGGCATACCCTGCAGCTAAACCACCCATACCAACAGACAAACCAGCAGCCAAGGCAATAAAGCCACTGATAGTGCATTGAGTTATCTATTTAATTTATGTATATGATTACTTACGAGAATAAGGAGTAACCAGCAGTTGGTGATACTAGTACACAATGTGTCAAATCAATACATAAAATAGGAAGCAACTTACATTGACCAGCCAAAAGAACTGCAACAACTAAACCATATACTGCAATAATACCACTCATAACAACAGGAATCAATGACTGGATATTGTAAGTATTTATCACAAATATCATGTCTATTACCTTCATAACAAGTTCGGGTTTAAAAGAACCAATACCGGCAATACCAATACCAGCTTTTGATGTACCATAAGCAGCGCCAATAGCTATAAAACAGAAACGCGTGTGTTGAATATATCATACTCAATAGCTAGAAGAAATCGACTTACTACTAAAGGCCATCTAGAGATCATATAAAAAAAAATAAGGGGGCAAAGTGTTAGTTCTCTTTTGTGTTTCATCTCTAAATCGTCTTTTTATAAGTAAACACGCGAGTGACCTACAGCACAAAAGACACCAGCGAACCCAAAGAAGGGAGCATAGTTTGGACAATAAACTTCAGCGTCAGACATAGTGTTATGTATATATAAAAGTAATAACAAGCAAAAAAAGGAAGAGAGAGAGAGAAAAAGGAATTCAAATGCAACAAACAGTTTGTGGCGGATATCGAATCTCAGGACGTCATCAGTGTCCATAGGATTCAAAGTCTTTAAGTAAAGGCAGACTTATTCTATCGCTTTTCATTCGAAAATTTTTGTTTGAAATGAATCAAACTGTAAGAAAAAAGTCGATTCAAGATGTTATGCACTTATGCGCAGACAGACACAACTCTAAAATTTCCTGCGGACTTGCACAGTCTTATTGTTTAAAAAAAAAAAAAGAAAGGGACCAAATCTGTTTCGATAAACAGCCTTAGATCTCAAGGTTAACAACAAAGGAGAACAAATTATTATTAAGCTCATAAACAAATAGACACTCTAATCCTTACATAGAATCTAGTTGCCAAAAATAAATTTATGCAAGTGTCATCACATCATTTTATTCTTTCTTTCGCGTAACACGATTCATAGGGTGATAACTAAAAGCATCAAATTCCTTCTCTTTTCTATAGAGATATTGTGTTATTTATAGGTTTAAGAGACCCTGAATGACACTACAAAAAAAAAATTCTCTTGGCCTAGTTCATTAAAACACAGCGTTAATTGTTACCTAAAAAAAAGCAGGAGTCTCGACTTTTACAAAAATGTTAAAGTATTTAATTGATCTCCCTTTTCTCTTTCTTTTTTTCTTCTTTCTCTCTTTTTTTTTAAAAAAAAAAAACTTAAAAGAAGATATGAAAACCAAGTTGATATTGTCAACTTTATTACTAAGTTGGCTATCATTTACTGAAGCATATTTCTATGTGCCAAATTACATGTCAACGCTGCCTTTTAGTGGTGGTATGGCATCCGCACAAAGAAATATGTCCCTTGTTATGTTTGGCGGTGAAAATGCAACAACGACATATACCAACAACCTCTATCAACTAACTCAAACACAAGACTCATTCGATTGGCAAGTAATGACTCAAAATAACCCTCCACCTGGCACAATATACGGTCAAGCAGTCGTCTCAAAGGACTTGAATTCCATGTATCTCCTGGGTGGCGTGTCAAATGCAACAGCCAACCAACAAGTGCCCTTCCAATACTACCAGTTTTCCTTTTCAAACAGTTCTTGGACTGCTGGACCAACAAACTCGATCACAAACACAACCAACATGCCCTTGAACAGAAAACTGTTTAGTGCAACCTATGATGGCTCCAACAAAATCTATATTTACGGTGGGGCTTTGAATGAATCTGCCATCTTTTATGATTTCTTCTCATTTGATATCACTACAAATCAGTTTACTTCATTAACAGCACCCAATATTCCTCGCTACGCTCATACGGGCTCTTATCTCAGGTAGTTTTTTCTCAAAGAACTTATTTTAGTATGTATAATTTTGTATGGATACTAAAATTATATTTAGTAACGGCAAGATCGTTTTCATTGGTGGTGTAGCCCAAATAAGCCAAAATGGAACTACAACTAACACACTAGTTCCTATTACTACTATCTATGTCTATGACACTACAACAAATCAATGGGAAGTCAAGACTGCTACTGCTTCTGCAGGCGTTTTGCCTTCTACAAGAAGTGTACACAATGCGGTTGTTAGTAAGTGATTGTGTGTCTGTGTAACATGCCGAGTATGTCATATTGATTTTTTTTTATAATTAGCTTCCGATAATAAGATTATTGTGTTTGGAGGTAAGCTATAGAGATGACAATAGTATCTTTTTTTACTTATATTTTTGGTAGGTGACAATGGTGAACAACAAAGAAACAAAGCTTATTTGAATTCAATCGGTATTTTGGATACAAATACATGGACATGGAGCGTACCTACTGTCGGTGGTATTCCCCCTTCCAGACGTTCTTATGCTTCTGCTGCTCTCTTTGGAAGCAATCTAGTGGTTGCTTTTGGTAAGAAAAGAGAACATGTGATCAACAGAATCCATGATGATTAATTGTTTATTATTTTAGGCGAGGGTTACAACATTTATTACAACGATATTAACGTTCTTAACCTTGAAGCTTCCTCCTGGATTCAAAGTTTTAAGCCCACTTCTACTTCTACTTCTTCTGGCTTGTCCGGTGGCATAATTGCTGGTGTAACCATTGCTTGTGTTGCTCTTGTTGTCATCATCTTGTTCTTGCTCTGGAGATTCCAAAGCTATGCGCGATGGCTTGTCAAGCGCATTCATCGTGATATATGGAAGCCACGGTAAGATAAAATTCGATGTTAAGGAGTAAAGATTGGCTAAACTTTAATTTCTATAGTACTGGTGAACCTCTTTGGGCTGAGACAACTCGTATTGTGTTCCAAGTCTTTTTGCTTTTCATCTTTTCTGTATTTCTTGCGTTCGTCATTCGCCAGGCTATTGACAGTCCGAATGTTACTCAAACTATTGAGGAATCAGTTGCAGAGGTCCAAGTGCCAGGTAAGCCAGTGGGTTGATTCTCAACACCATAGCTAAATTATACTAGATGTTCGTTTTTGCTTTGATGGCTATCCCCTCTATCCTGCTACTGATGCAAGAACACCGGGTGTTTCTTGTGTTACGGACACTGGCTACTCTTGTACTCAATTCGTACAAACGCTGAACATGTCTGTATTCCAACCCACCTTTTCAGATAACTTGGGTGCTGTGAACTGTTATTTGTTTAGAGCGCCTGAAGACTTTGTTTTGACGTCTACTTCCGGTGCTAATAACGGTTCTCGCTTGATGTTCACTTTCTTTGGTGATCAAAGTGTTAATTATGGTCGTATCCACACTTCCATCTATCCTAAATCCATGGATCCTAATGCTGTCATCTATGGTATCTCTGATTCTGTTGCCAATGTGATGCCTGAAAACGAAATTCTTAACTGGCAAACAACCGATAGAAACGATTTGCAAGCAACCAACGTCTACTCGATTGAACCTTTCACTTACAGCGCTCTTTCTTATGACTTGATTGACCATCAATATTTGCAAAGTGTCGGTTGGAACTATGTTGGTTTCTTGCCCATTACCAATTCAACTCCTGAAATCGAAACCAATTTCCGTCAAGAAGCTCCTAATCCCAACTATAACAAGACACATGCTGATCTAGGTATGCTTGCTGTCTTCCCTGACAGTTTCGTGACGACGATCGAACGTGAAGTCAAGATGTACACACTTGTGAACGCACTTGGTTTTGTGGGTGGTATTTTTGGTTTGCTGGTAGCTATTCAAGCATGGCTCTTTGGTTACCGTCCTCAATCACCTTGGGGCGTTGTTCATCGATGGTCTGTTGGCAACATGAAGCGTTCCTTGCTTCGTGGCCTTCATTCCAAATTCAAGATCACTGAGTCGGGTGTGCCTCTTGTCCATCCTGTTCACCATCGTTTCAGTGTGACTGATCTCAACAATCTGCACTACGAAGATTCTGAAGCACAACGTATTAACCGTGTTGAAGAACGTATGCAAATGCTAGAAATGTTATTCAAGGCATACTATGTCGATGATGAAGTCTTTAGATCTTTAGACGATGCTAATCGTGCTGGTAAACTTAACAATCTGGACAGTGCTCGAGGTGTTCCTTTGAATGCAAACGACAGTGCTCGATTTGGTTCTCCTCCTAGCTTTAGTCAAGTTGCAGGTGCTCCCAAGACAGAGAAAATGATGGATGACAACTACAATGATAAATCTACTTCTCCTTTTGTTCACCCTTTCACCAGACAAGATACGGATGCTAGTTCTGCTTCTCATATTCCATTGACACAGCAACAACGTCAACATGCTCCTCCATATCGGCCCAACACAACCGTTCAAATGACAGATGATTAGATCTCTATTGTATATTTTTCTTTATTTATTTTTTTTCTTTCAATAAAACTTTATTGTTCTCTCATTGACGGTTGTACAAATTCATTTTTGAATTTGCATAAAGCTGGAATTACAGATTAACCGGCTTACATGGTTTAACCTGTTCGGTAAAATACAACATCTAACGTCTTTTTATTTTTTTTTTATTTGTCTAATCATTAAATTTTTTTGCTCTTGATGGGCTCCTTCTTTGCTAAAGCAGCCTTCTTCTTGTTGTTATAAGTGATTCTATAGAAATTGATAAATAAAAAGAGATAGGAAGTCAAGATAGCACATCCGAAAGCAGCAGCAGTTTCAGTGCCTGCACAATCACCAAAGTTGGGTAATGAAGCATAAGTATAAGCATAATAAGAATAAGTACAGGAATAAATAACCACAAGATCAATCACAAATTGAATGATTTGCATGGTAGTCAGGTATTGTTTCCACCAAATCTTGGCTCCAGAAGCAGTACGGAAGTAGTAATAATACATGAGAACATGGACTGTCAAGTTGAGAACAATAGGGACCCAAGACTATTGCCTTTATTAGCTTATGCTTGCTTTTTGTTAGATACATACCACAGTTGTTCTGCCTACCAATTGTGTGTAACATAACGCCATGGTCATACTGTGATGGAAATAGTGCAAGAACTCTATCAAGAAATCTTTATCAGCACTCTCTTTTCGCTCTCTAGTTACTTACCGAGCTTCTTTTTCTTGACGACCAAGAAAACAGTATCAATCAACTCATAATATTTGACCAGATAATTAAGGTAATACAATAATTCCAGTTCCTGGGTCCAAGCTTCTTCTGAACAAATCGTATAATACAAACCATGATGAATCAACTTGGGAAGTAGCTGTTCGATTAATAGTACAAGAAGAACAAAAGAAATGACCGTCAAGAATGCATTGTGGATCTGGAAAAGCAACTTGCATTTGACAGGTGACGCGTTGGTAAGCAAATAGCGGCCACCAAAGATCACAGTAAAGTAAGTGATACATCCGATAATGACTAGCATTACTGTATTTAGCTTCCTTGACCTGTGGCTAGTTTGTATCTTACCTTCATTTAAAGTCGAGAGAGGAGTGACACCTTGCACAAAAGCAAAATCTTTGGCAGATTGACCAACAATCAAGGAATAGGCCTTATCAAAATAATCAAACAAATAGATACCAAAGAGTCTATCCACACTAAAATGGAGGGCTGACATGTTATGTTTGAAAGAGAAAAGAAGCGGAAAAAAGAGGGGAGGAGAAGAGGGCGCAAGATATTTATTCTTTTCTTGACGTTCAGGCGGCGATGAAAACAAAGTATCATTTTTTGACATTTTCTAGTCAAGTTTACCCGAATGAAATGGTACAACTATATTGTAAGAGGGATTCATATTAAAGTAAATAAAAACAACAACACCAGAATGATCAAATAAATAGGTATTCAAGATTAACAACAAAGTATATATCGAGACATGCTTGAGATAGGGATTGCAGATAACAAAATGTGATTCTATATATATATATCCAATTGTGCCTGAGATAAAGCTAGTTCCGGATGAAGTATTTTCGGACCGAACAGTCGGACATTCTCGTCAGCTCTTTTACAATAAATTATTTGTAGACGAGTGCACAGAAGATCCTTCCTTCTTAGCTGCCCTTTGTATATCTATTTGGTAATAAGATGATTCATCCATCCAAAGACACATTCATCTAACTCATCTTACAGACATGAAAGACATCTACAAGTCTGACGAACTCACCATCCCTGAAGGTGTCAAGGTTTCCATCAAGTCCCGCCAAGTTACTGTTGAAGGTCCCCGTGGTTCTCTCACCAAGAACCTCCGTCACTTGAACATTGAAATCACTGTCAAGGATAACAAGATCAACTTTGTTGTTCACCACGGTCTCCGTAAGCACGTTGCCTGTATTCGTACTGTTCGCTCTTTGATCAACAACATGATCACTGGTGTCACCAAGGGTTTCGAATACAAGATGCGTTACGTCTACGCTCACTTCCCCATCAACGTTATCATTAACGATGCTGGAGATGCTGTTGAAATCCGTAACTTCTTGGGTCAAAAGGTTGTCTTCCACGTCAAGATGCGCGAAGGTGTCACTGTTGCCTCTTCCAAGTCCCAAAAGGATGAACTTGTCTTGACTGGTAACTCTCTTGAAGCCGTTTCTCAATCCGCTGCTGATATCCAACAATCTTGTCTCGTCAAGAACAAGGATATCCGTAAGTTCTTGGATGGTATTTACGTCTCTGAACGTAACGTTTTGGAAGCTTAAGTTTTCTTCTATAATAAAGATACACACCAGGTCTTTGGGAAGACGGCAGCAGCCTTCCCACCCTTTTTTTTTTAAAATGTGATTCTCTAAAAGAGCCGTCTTTTATATATAAAGCAAGATGGACATAAAACGAGAAAATGTATGACTTGAGCTCTTTTCAACCTAGAATAACACTCCTTTTTTGTGTGTGTGTGTGTCTATCTTGTTCCTCAGTATATTTTTTTGCATAAGAGTGTTTCTCCCCTTGAATATGATGTCAATGCCCAAGTAAAATCATACTATCATGCCCAAGATAAAACAATGAGACGTATTTTTAGATCAAATGCATTTTATGTTTGAATGACACCCCGATATATTCAGTCAGAAAAAAAAAGCCTACCTTGGCAAGTAACACAAGCTATTTATTACGAAAATTGTCTGCTCCTGAACATTTTCCTTCTTTTTCTTTCTTATTACTTTTCTTAAAATGTCTATGGAGACACCACCTTTTGATCCAGCAGATTATTCCTATGTGATTGGCATAGGTAAAGCAAAGACATAAAAGAGAAACGCTTGATTAATGTAGACTAGATTTTGGTACAACTTTTTCTGGCTGCTGTTATGCCTTTTCAAAAGACGGTAATGATGAAATTATTGATATTACTAAATGGTAATACAGACTAGTGCTTATTTGCTTGTTCATTATTAACTCATGTATAGGCCAAAACAACAAAATGTGTATCCAAAGACACCAACACTGTCCTTGTATCGAAATGGCTCCACCAAACTTGTTGCTTGGGGTCAAGACGCTAAAAAGACAGCCATGAAACGCAATAATAACGACCAGCTCTTATCACGATTTAAACTGCAGTTGGATGAAAACCTCGACTTGCCCCCTTTACCCAACGGCCTCACAGCACTTGAGGCTATCACAGACTATCTCGAGGCTTTTCATTCACATGTTTGTAAAGACCTTCAACGTGGCTTTGCAAACAACTATGACCAAACCAAGTTTCGTTATTGTTTGACTGTGCCTGCTATGTGGAGTGATCAAGCCAAGGCAACTATGCGTGAAGCTGCTATTCGTGCCAATATCATCAACCGCTGGGATCATCCCAACAGACTGATGCTGATTAGTGAACCTGAAGCTGCTGCTCTTTATTGTGAAAAGAAGTGCGATCAGTTCAATCTGGGACACGGTCAACGCTTCTTGATTTGTGATGCTGGTGGTGGTACTGTCGACTTGATCGTGTTTGAGATTGACGATTCAGGTGAACGAAGAGCTTTAAAGGAAGTGACCAAGGGTTCTGGTGACTCATGTGGTTCAACTTTCTTGGATATTCGTATGCGAGAATACTTGAAAGATAGATTTTATCATCATGGCAAGATAAGCGATACAGCTATGGAGTCCATGATGGAAACCTTTATTGATACAATCAAGGTATATGAAGCCCCTCCTTTTTTTTTTCTTTTCTTTTTTTTCTTTCTTTCTTTATGCGCTCTTTCTTTCTTTCTTTCTCTCCTTATTCACTCCCATTCTAACTATATGCTTTCTCCTTTTATAGCCTGAATTTGATGGCGATGAAGATCAATATCTAGCACTTCCTGCAGCATTGGGAATTGAAGGTTTAGACGATCCTGATGCAGGCATTGAAGACGGCACCCTCCATATTCCCTGCCACGAACTACGCCAACGCGTATTTGAGCCAGTCATTAACCAAGTAATTGATTTGATTGAAGAACAAGTGCAGCTATCTTCCATTAAGCTGGATGCTATCTTTTTAGTCGGTGGTTTTGGTCAATCAACATACCTGTATAGACGTGTTTTGGCCGAGTTTCAATCTCGAGTTGGTTTTATTGGTGTACCACCTCGTGGTGAATTAGCAGTAGTCCGTGGTGCTGTTTATTTCGGATTAAATCCACATATGGTGACTGAGCGTGTGTCGAGACGTACTTATGGTCTTGAGACTCGTATGGTCTTTGATCCTCGCCATGATCCCCCTGAACAATGTATTAAAGGTGACGATAACCGCTTGTTCTGTAAGCAACGGTTCAGTGTATATGTACAGAAAGGACAAACAATCAATGTGGATGAATGTGTCTCTAAGAACTTCATGATTGCATATCCAAATGATACCGATACAGGTAAGGAAAAGTAAGTGAGGACTATTTTTTCTGATGAATAGATTTATTCGCTTATGATGGTGATGGACCTATTCCTCGTTTAACTACGCATCCCAACGTATTCAAAGTAGCCAGATTCCCTATCAAAATGCCCAAGTTTGCAGATGTACAAAAGGGCCAACCTGTGTTTATGACCATTAAAATGTATTTTGGTCAAACAGAAATCAAGATTGAAGCACAAATTCGTGATCGTAAATTCACTTTTACTTCTGCTTTTGAGACAATGGAAAGAGAAATGATGCAGTCACTCAATTCACAGACAAATATGTTGTCCATCAAACCTGATGAAGAACATAATTCATTAGCACCAGGCTATGGCAATGGAGGAATGTATGGTTACACCGGCAGTAGTGCTGGGTCAAATGTGTCAGCGGGATATACGAACCAATCCCGCCCACCTTCATTACCTTCTCGAGACAACGGTTATCCTTCTCCTATGTCAAATCCTCGTAGTGACAATGACAATACGTTCTATGACGGTGATTCCAGGCACTCTGCTTCTAACACAGGCAGTTCGAGGAAGATTTTTGGTATCAAGTTTGGTAAAAAACGCTAATCTCTTTATACATTAATAATAATAAACAATAATTTGATGCTCAACATATATGATCTGTCAAAGCCATTTATCGAGATGTATTATCTAAAAATAGCATCATTGTGGCTGAAGTTGACGACCCTTTTTTAAACAGTCTGTTCTTTTAATAGTCATTATTGTTCCTTGTTTGCTGATTTAGAAAAAATATTTTTCTTTAGAGCATATTTATTTATAGTCCAATCCAACCCTGTTCATCATTTGTGCTTCTATTCTGGCATGAAGCAAATGAATTGTGCTTGTTACCAAATAAGGAGAAGAATTGAAAGCAGAATAACAGAATGAGGCCAAACAAAAACTGAAATGATATAAAAGAAGCATACTCTTTTGATAAATAAACCAACATGACCTCTTCTCTTTGATTGTTTTGTCGCTGCTTACTTATTTTATCAACCAATGGGTCTACAATCTCTTTGATGTATGTTTTGTAGTCTTTTTGGTTTCTACTGCATAACAATGCTATTTCATATTGCATAGTATCTTCAAAATATTTCTCAACTTTGTTCATTTTGATCATTAGAAAATCGACTTGTTCCAGAGATAATGAAAAATATAGCCTTGCTTTTTTTTTTTTTTTTTTTTTTTTTTTTTTTTTTTTTTGAAACATGACCACCAAATACATGACTGCATTCTAATGTTGCTACCGGAGATTCTGGACTAACCAAATCAGAAATACAAATATTGCAAATGATGGGTGCCTTAGACATGCTGGTCAAAATCTAAAATGAAAAAGAAAGAAAGGAAGGAAGGAATACAATAGAACAAGCAAAGCAATGAAATGTGTTAATATATCTGTTAGAGGCTTTGTAAAGAATATTCGTTTTTGTTGAATTGGTACTTTGATAAAAGAGATTACTGCAAGGATATTACGCACTCCATTTTACAGTTGTCAAATTAGAACATGCCTTAATAAATAAGCTTTCTCAAAAAGAAAAGAAACATAGGGGTATTTTAGACTAGGTTCATCATGTATCTTGAATGTATCATGAAGTTAACAAGCGCTTTCTTCTGTATAGTTATATCCTTTCTTATAAGTATGTTCCTCTTCTCCTCCGCCTCTTTGTTAAAACAAATAAGACTGACAGAAATTCATTAGTTGTCAGTCAAATATCTTTTCTCTCCTCAAGACAAAGATGAAAGCATTTTTCAAAGAAACAACTCACACTTGTTTTGAATAGTTTCATATATATCCAAATAATCATGGCTGCTTGTCTGTTTGAAATACAAAGCTTAGTTTGTACCCCAATTCAGATGCTAAAACGAGTGTCATCTTGACTTGAAATATATTCCTTCTCAAATGGTATCAAAGATATACCAAAAAGAATACTGGTGTTCCATTTCTGGAAGGAAATGGAAATTTTAAAAGCACCCTTTCATTTTTCATGTAAGCATGTTTGTTTTGATGATCAGCTACACAACTTTTGTACTTTCTATCATGACTATGCTGTCGAAACTAGCGCCAAATAAAGAGAGTCATAGTAAAGATACTTCTTTATCAATACTTGTATCCTTTTAAAGAATGGGTCGATCTGAATAAACAAAAGTGTATAAAAGTCATTTTGAGTTACAAATCATTGACAAACATTGTGGTCACTTGATAATGACGGCAACAAGTACGGTCTAACGAAAAGAAAAAAGAGCCGAGCTTTATTATGTATGTATATGCAAAAGAACTGTACAAGGATTAAATATTAAGTTGATCTATTGGTCAATGTTTGCAATGATGTTTGCAAACCCACGAACTTTTTGACATTCAGAACGTAAGTTGTTTGAAACAGCCGAGTCCCATTCACCATTGGCAACAAATTGGCGAGCGTAACGAAGACAAAGTTCTTCTCTGAAATTGGCGTATACTTTGCGATTAAACAAGCGCTATATGGGAATGATAAGTTTGCTGGAATAAAAGTTAAATGTAATACATTACCTCTCTTTTACGTGTAGCTTCGGGATAATCATGGGATTGATGGATAATAAAGTCATTAGGCAATACGTAATAATTAATGCCAGACAAGTAGATTTCGTATAAACAAGCTGCTTTGTTTGCACCATAGCCAATGAAACGTTCATCGCACCAAGGCGAACTGCTTCTTTTGAAAACAACATAAGGTTCATATGAAAAATTGTAGTCTTCTACAAGATAGGGTTCATCTGCAAGATACCATTTAGCATAATTTGTAGAAGAATGACCTTTATCCCAATCGCGGTGAAACATGTCGAGTTTTTCCTCATCAAAAACTTGCTTGAGCAGACCATCTTTAGTGTGAGGGAAATGTGCGCTATCAAACCCATCTGATTGAGCCAAATATTCAAAGGCTGGTACCACAAAAGCCGTGCGACCTTGTTCCAACATCTCCAATAGACCAGGATTCTGTAAAATCTGCTTTCGGAAGTCGGTACATAGATAAAAGTCGATGTCTAACATCATGATGTAATCCGTACGAGCATAAAGTTTGGCTGTATTTCGCCACATATTGAATTGCCTATCAAATTTATCGACAATCAAATGAATATCAACAAAACGCTTCATGTCTGGGTTGTCTTGAATAGTTTGATGAAGTTGGCTAATAATGGCATGCTTATTTTCATCATCCATGATATGAATGGCAGCCGAAATCGGACCTATATATTTTTTTTTAAGTTTTTTTGCCTGTGCTACATCAACGTCATTTTCTACCTTTGTATCTAGAGGCTAATCGACTGAGAACCGGGAATCGGTCACTAGTGACAATGGTTGAAATAGAAATATCTTGTTCATAGAAGTCTCGAGATGCCTTTGAGTAATAAGGAATGACTCGAGAAGGGCCCATAGAACTGGAATAAACTTTGGACTGTAAAATGGGATTGTATGTGACTTCATTTTGAAGACTACTACTACTGCTGCCACTGACAGAACAATAAGCTTGATCTAAGCAGAAGATATGGTCTGAATCTTGAGTTTCGTCTTTTTCAATTTCTTGCTGAGAGAGTGGTGCAATGAAGAATGTATCGGAGGATCTTGATGATTCCATTATGCTTCTGCGTGTTCTTGAATGTTGACTACTTGTGATACCATAGAAATGTGTTGCAGTATAAATAATAGAAATAATGGCATAAGCCAATGCAATAAACTTAATTCCACGCCCAAGCGATTTTGGTAAGGAATCAAAAATCATAATTCTTTTTTTAAGTAAGCTAAGAAAAATAAAAGAAAAGAAAAGAAAGAAAAAAAGCCATGTCTATTATAGATGTTTGAGGGAAGCGGAGTTGAGATGTCTTTGTGAGACAGGGTATCTTTGGTTATTTTTATCGCTTTTTTTTTTTTAGCTTTCAAGAGCCACCAAAAAAAGAGAGAAGATAAGGACCGAGTTTCATATTCCTTGTTTAGATCCGAGTGTGTGTATACATAGCAATCATTGTTACCGAGAAATTCTGAATAGTTTATGCCGTATTTACTACAAAATATCTATTTATATACGGCAACATTTTTAACATAGTATCATGAATAACAACAATCCATTTGCTTCTGTTAGTTACGTTATTTGACTTTTTGTTGTCTATAAATATGCCCTTTTTATGGTTCAAGAAAGAAGGGGTTATTTTTAAGGATAAGTTAGCTATGTTTATGTTCAATCCAGCTATACTCATCAGAAAAAGACTAAATTACATTCACTTGGTGAACATTGTAATATAAAACAAAAAAAAAATTTTTTTTTCTTGGTGTTTGCTTCTCAATAACGTTGTAAGTCGCCTCTTTTTGGCTCGATGACAAATCATTATAGATATTACTTTGAATCTATTACTATCTGAATTAGATGTATGCTAGCTGAATTGCAATGGCTCTATAAAGCACTGCGTTTATTTTTTTTTTTTGAAGCACAAGTGTGTCCGATATTTTTTTTATTGCCAGACACCTCCCCTATTACATAAGATGGCATTCTCTTTTCTGGTTTTGTCAACATTATGGCTGATAAACAAATTTCTATTCTAAAGAAAAGCGCTAGTGTTTCTCAAACCCTGATCAAGAGGTTTCTAGAAGGCGAGGCCGATGAAGAGGCTATCAAGAGACTGTATGATATTGTCAGAGGTAAATGAGTACCTTGTTTTAGTACATAGATCTTGATCATTAGTAGAAAAAAAAAGAGAAGAGTTTGGAGATGCCTTATTCGTTGATTCCGATGACATTACTTCTTTCAACCAAGGCAGATCAACAAACTCTCATGATACTATTGATCTGCAACAAACAGTGGACACGATCAACTTGGCCGTCTTTACATATCTCCTCAGCACTTTTAACGAAATCAAGACTTGTATCAATGCATTTTTTTGTTTTGTAGAGCCTTTTGTGAAAAAACATACAACTGAATCATTAGAGCTTTATCATTTGTTGCGTTGTAACGTCTTTTACCAAAGATTAGACAGTCTTGTTGAGTCTGGAGACACTTTTGATTACAACCAGGTTGTGGAAGAATCCTTTCCCGACAATCCCACCAAATACTACCTTATCCCAGATCATTCTGATAATAAGCGTATTATGGCCGAGCTTCGTTCAAACAGAGAACAAGTGAGTCGGTTGTATCCATTAACATTACTCATGCTTTTTATGATAGATATTGAAGGAAAACACTGACAGTATACTTGAAAGCGACTATGGAAATCCTGACGTCTTGCAACAAAAGCTCTATACTTATGTAAACGCACGCTGGGTAAGCACATTGTTTCTAAGAGTTGCGACTTAAAAAAGACATCTTTTACATGACAGCAAGACATTAAAGCAACTCAACAAAACCTAAATAAAAAACCAGAATCAGAATCAGAATCAGAAATGGAAGAAGAGCAAGTAGAAGAGCCTATTGTATTAGATGAAGACTTAGAGGATCAACGGATTAGAAACGATTCAATCAATTCTGTTGTGGCTGATATGCGTAAACAATCAATTGCCTCTTTATCGCCTGAACCCTATGTACCATCTCCATCACCTGAAGCATATGCACCGTCTCAATCGTCTCAATTGCCTGAATTGCCTCACTCTTCCCAAACTTCTGAGGTTCCTAAAGCACAACCTCATGAGGAGCATCAATCTTCACCCATTCCTCAAGCACAAGAAGAGCCACCAGTTCCTCAAGCACAAGAAGAGCCACCAGTTCCTCAAGCACAAGAAGAGCCACCAGTTCCTCAAGCACAAGAAGAGCCACCAGTTCCTCAAGCACAACAAAGACGTCGTCAATTGCCTCAAGTCATTCGTCGCCGACGTAGTAGTACTGAATTTGATCAAACCAATTTACCACCAGACATGTATATACCAGACTCGGGAGGTCCTCCAAGAAAATTTCCTAAAGTCAGAAAAAAGTCTGAACCATGGACAGATGAAGAAACAAAAGAACTTGAGCAAGGTTTGATAAGATTGAAGGCTAAACTTTGGGTCCAAATCAGAAAAAAAAGTCAACTATTGCAGCATCGAGAATTGACTGCCTTGAAAGATAAAGCTAGAAATGAAATCAAAAGACGTAAAAGGCTTGGGATTGATCTTGGTGGTTTTGTTTATGCAGAAGCAGACTAAAATAAAGTAGTACAAAAGTGCATATAAATTTATGCCAGCTTTTTCTTTTCTTTCCATCTTTTTTCTTTACTACGACGTTTTTTTTTTAAAAAAATGACTACCTCTCTAAGTCTAACTGGCTCACAACTGGTAGCTTACTTGACAAGGCCTTTGTGTCCTGAAGAAGTGATCTGCGAAACTTGTACACGTATAGGCGATCAAGACTTTGAGCAGTGTCTAAATAAAGACTTGTCTCCTCGCGTCTATTTGAAGCTGGCAGTTATGTTAAGCGATATTGATTTACGATATTCACTTACAAATAGTCAAGAAGACATGGAATGGTTATGCACTATGGCTATCAAAATAAGCACTGATAGTACCTTAGCTTCCTATGTTGTTGAAAAATTACATCAACTTTGTCAAGAGCAAAAGCAGTCTGTTATGTTGGACCAAATATCACAATACTTGAAAAAGCAATCTTATTTACACTATCATCGAGAAATAAAATTTATTCAGGAGTGTCTCCATAGTCTAAGGGTAAAGTATCTTGCATGATTTGACAGTAACTTACGTTTCCCTGTAGCCAAATACAGTTCAATTGATTCAGGAACAAATTGAAAAGAACAGTATTAGCTTGGAATCATTGGTTATATCTAATATTAAGCTTTCAAGGCTTATTCCTTTACTTGGTGTTGTCTATGCAGACTATGATGAATTGGTAAGTTTGTTGTGTTCAAGGACACTGTATTGCTGACACTTTGCAAGCCTGATTTACCTTCAAAATGTCAAGAAGATTTCATTCGAGACAACAGTAGTTTGCGTCACTATTCCACTCAAGACAAAGGTACTCAAGAGAAGCCATCAACTCAAAACACTTTGTGCAATGCTAGCCAGGGTGAATGGAGTATTAGTGAATATTTTATTCTTTCAGTACCTTCACAAGCTACGAATTCGTCTCTCCCAAAGGAACAAAGTACATGGTCATTTAACTATTCACAACCTGAATCCCTTCACAATGATGATAATGACGAGGAAGAAGATGACGATTGCCCATAAATAACATTTCTATAAGCTCAGTTTTCCCATTAAAGACAAATGATATATTATGACTAAAGTATTGTTGAAATAAAAATAAGTTTTCTAAAAGGATTCTATGCTTAAAGAAACTATGTATCAATAGCATTGTATTACCCAAATAAGATGTGAACATTTGCTTTATTTTAAGTTCCGGTAAATTTTTGTTAGTTACATCTCCTGTTTCATATGATCTATTTTCAATGTGTGCTATTGAATTCACAGACGAGGAATAAAATTGTCCCGATTGGCTATGTGATAGGCGTTCTTTCATATACGCATTTTCAGACTGCAAATACTAAATCAGGTAATATATGCCAGATTAGTTTAAACCCTTCCTTCTCCTTTTATATCTTACTAATATATGGTTCAGGGCTGCTTTAAGAACATGATGTTTGTTGAGTCTTTGTCCTGAAGATAAGGTATGAGGCACCACTTGAGATAGTTGGTCAATAGTATGATTGATACAGTCTCTTCGACGTCTTTCAACATAGTTATGATTCTCTCTTCTTTTCTTAATTCTCTCGACAATGGTTTTACTGTCAAGATTTTTTCTGTAATATCATTAGAGCAAATTGTTATCTTTATCTATTACCTATTTAAAATATTGACACCATTCACTTTAATGGCTGCTATCTTTTCTTTGGATGTAGAAGGCTCTTTTTTCGTTGTTTTTGATTTTTGTGGGCATAAGTTTGAAGTGAAATTTAAAAAGAGAGGTTTTGTAGGATCACTTTCTTCTGAAGAAAGCTCTTCTTCCTCTTCTTCTATTTCTTCAATAGAGTGTGATGTTGAAGAAGAAAATACAGAAGTACATAACTGATAAGGTGCTTGAAGAGAGTCATTCATAATGACCTTTTCATTGTTACCATAAAAATGCCAAATCATATATAAATAAAGAAAAAGAGAAAAAGAGAGAAAGAGTACTGGTTTATCTCAATTGAAAAATGTTCTTTCTTAATGGTACAAACAACCCATTATAGGCATAATTTTGTGTTTTTGGGCAGAGGATATGTTTACTTGATTTAGAAACGGATCTTCTCCCCGCCATTAACCCAACATGTGAGATCCATCAATTTGAAAGATACTTGTGACTTGGTCTTGCTTTATCTTAATTCTATCATCCTTCATCACTCTATCATGGAATGAATAAAATGATTCTTTTTTTTTTCTCTTATTACCTATTATCAACACGAATATCTTCTGTTTCAATACCAAGTGTGGCTTCAGGTGTAACTGCATCAAGTACGTATTTATTGTCACAATGAGGACAATACTCATCTTCTTCTTCATAATCCCTAGATCCAACATCAGATGAAGTCTATAGCACACATATAGAACTTACGTTATATCCTTTCTAAAGGCCTTTTTACACTTCTTGCAAGCAAAGACCATTTCGTTTGTCTTTCTCAAGGGATGATCAGAAACAGCTTCATGACATTCAGGACAGTCAAACCATTTTTTACAGCATTGAGCACGAATAGAAACCTTTTTTTTTAGTGTCTCAATCAATACGTTATTTTTTCTATTGCCTTATTTACCTGTGCGTTAAGGATATGCTTGCACATTGTTTTATTTTATAAGGGTATACAGCAAAGAAAAAGAAAGAAAGGAGAAGAAGTCTGGCAATTAATATTTAAACTTTTTTTTTTGGTTTTGGTTTCCCGCATATGGTAAAGACACATTAGTTATCGATATACAACGGCAATTGAACAGTAATTCGACACTGTTGAGGATTCAAGGATCTAAGGGGAGCATCTTCATTTTGATAAGTATCAATTCTAAGATAGATCAAGAATGTCAACTGCCTATCATGAGTGATACTGCAGATAATATTATCAGGCTCTAAATAAGCACAGTTTAAAAAGTGAACAAAATCATCACTCTTGACACAGACAGAAGAAAAAGATTCTGGTTCTCTTGTGCTTAAGTCATGGCCCACTTTAAGAACAACAAGATAAGTTTTGTCATCTCTTTTTCAATGATGCTTTACCTAGTTCAGGATGCTGAAGGTTTTCATAGTGAGAACTACACATGGCAAAAGGAGATTGAACTTCGACTTTGAATTCACCCTTCATATTGGCAGATAATTTCAAAAAACCATTTAATGTCTTAAATCTTTCTGCTGTTACCTTGAGGACATTCACATCAGGCAATAAAATATATGTCTAGCTTTAATTAGTACATTACTTCATTCATTAGGAGCTTACATCAGGAGCTTCCATAGTAACAGGATCTCTGATGTGTTGAATCTTGTCTCCTGTCACGAGCTGAATAGGTAATTCCTTGTTCAATAGATCTTTTGAACCTTTAAAGCTCTAATTAGATGTAAGTCTAGTGTCTTTCTGATGGGATTGTTACCTCAGATGTCCACTTGAAACTTAAAATAATGTTGCCATTGGTATCTTTTAGTCCAACTGTAATGCGTGTACAATCTACAAGATCTTTAGTGATCAATAAAAGATTGGCGAGATTGAAGGCAAAATAAACTTCATTGTTGACTTGAAGACTTTGAAGACGATATTCTGAAAACATGCAAGACTATATAAGGCATAAGTCATCATTCTGTTTCGATGGCTATACTTTACTGGATTCATCACACTAAAAGAATATTAGCAGGAGTTTAGAACATGTGGATCAGTTACACTTACGTCCATGATTGAATGTCTACTGGGTTATTCTGGTGTGTAATAAAGCGCAGCTCTGTTTTTGAGAATACAGCAAAGCATACTGGGCCTAACTTCTCCAATGTCTGAGCTAGTTCTGAATGATACTTAACACACGACGAAAAACAACACAAAACTTACTATGCAATCCAGTTGGGTTGTTTAATGTTGCTTTGAATCGCATAAAGGAGGAAAAAGAAGCCTGTGACTGTACATCTTTAATGCATAGAGAAATGCTTTTTAAATGCCAATTGAAGACACAAAGTAAAAAAAAAAAAAAAAAAAAAAGTTGAAAGTCTTTATTATTATGAAAAGAGGGGGAATGAATTATGAAAATACAAATTGCATGCGAATGAAAATGAATAACTTAATTACGTCCACGGCCACGGCCACCAAAGTTACCGCGACCACGACTACCGCCACGACCACCAAAGTTACCGCCACGGCCACCACGACCACCAAAATTGCCGCCACGACCACCGCGACCGTTACCGCGACCACCACGGCCACCAAAACCACCACGAGCAGGACGGTTGCTGATTCTTTCAGCATCATTGGAACCACTGAAATCAGTACGAACAGGACGACCTTCAATACTGATACCATTCATGCCCTTGACAGCAGCTTCGGCTTGATCTTCAGTCTCGAATTCAATATAACCAATACCACGGATCTTGCCTGTTTCTCTATTATAAGGCAAGCGCACATCACCTACAATTGTACCGAACTTTTCAAATGCTTGACGGACACCATCTTCATCTAAGCTATGAGCCAAATTAGCTACGAAAACTGTGTTGGTCTTGGGGCCAAAATTGTTGTCTTTGGCACGAGGAGCAGCAGCAGAGGCGTTATCAACCTTGATGGTGCGGCCCATGAATTCACTGCCATCCATCTTCATTGCTTCTGCTTTACCAGATGCATCAGCGAAATCGATGTGGGCAAAACCACGAGAACGACCTGTGCTAGGGTCTGTGCGAAGTCTGACAGACTTGATTTCACCACATTGACTGAAATGCTCACTGATTTGAGCAGAGGTAGCATCAAAGCTGATTTGACCTACCCAAACAGTGTTTCCTTCAGCACCAAAGGGCTTCTTGACTACTTCTTCAATTTTGACGGTCTTCTTGGGACGTTCTTCTTCTTCTTCGTCATCTTCGTCTTCTGAACGGTCACGCTTGTTACTAGCTTCTTCCATATCAGCATCAGATTCTTCTTCTTCTTCTTCTTCGCTGCTGCTATCTTGCTTGACAGACTCTTCGTCAGAAGATTCTTCTTTTATGCTAGCTTGTTCTTCTTCTTCAGAGGACTCTTCACTGGAAGAGTCACTTGAGGAGTTTTCAGCTTCGATTTTTTTTTCAGCCTTAGTTTGAGCAACAGATTTTCCCATGTTATAATAGAATGAAGAGAGAAAGAGAATGGGAGAACTTTGAGATCTAAAGTTAAGCTTTTTTTTTCATGTTTCGGTTTTTTGATGTTCTGCTTTTCGTGTTCCTTTGTGACTTGGGAAAAGCCACAAATATAGTTAATGCTTATGTAAGACAGGTTTACATGTTGTTAAAGTATCAATTGATGCATTATAGGTTGAATCAAAAGATCTTGAAGAAAACTTATACTTGCAAAGCTTCTTTGAGTAAACGCAAGATATGAAATGAGCGAATCAGTCATGAAATTCATTTAAATGCTGAAGGACAAACTTAATTAAACATATTGACCAATATAACGTTGAAAATAGAAAACAAAAGGTAGAAATATAGAAACCATAATAATGGTTTCCAGACCTTTCTTCTGGATTGCTGCGCAGCAACTTAAACAGACAGAAAGTGACGGTTGATTTACTATACTTTGTATTTCAAATAAAGTTTTTATCGTTATTCCGAAATGTTTCGGTCCGTTTAAACAAAGCATATATTTCGTATATTGATGTTCTCATGTAAAATTTAATTGGATAGTATTGCTTTGTCATGAAAGGATTAGCATTTATCACATGGCTTTCAGTTTTGATTAGTGATAGAATAGCGTAGTTTTTATTGTCTGTTTGATCTCTTTACTCCGAGAATCACGATAGAACAAACATAAAGGAGAAAAGACAGGCTTTCTAGAAATATACCAGCGTACACGTAATCGTGTATATGTTTTTGAATCAACAATTTTTTTGACTAACCGCTTTTGGAGTGTATTGCGAAATAAGTTTCCGTTTTAAACAAAATTTTTTTTTTATTTTTTGATGTATGACAGGATCACTTTCAATCTGATTGTACTTTTTTACCAATTAAGAAAAGTGTTATTTTTTTTAAGATATGGAATAGCAGGCTTGTTTGAAGAGAAGACAGAAAAGACAGAAAAGCAGAAATGCAGAAAGATAGAAAAAAAGGGGGAAGCATTTGACGTATAGTTTAAGAACGATACAACTGCATATTTATTATAACTTGTTGGTTGAGTTTACGAATCACTCAACCGCAAATCTTGTACAACCAGCTGAATCAAGACATAAGAATTTTTTACTTCTTTACTCCGAAGCCTGAACATGTAAAGATAGAAATATAATTCATTTCACTAGATAGATAAAAGAAGAAAGGTTACTATCTCTACTAGAGACACTTGGTATTTGTTTTGTTGTGAGATAAGAACATATTACTAAACAATTGTACCACATATCTAGATCGTCGTTTTTTGAAACTCGAAGCCTATTATTTGTCTTTTTTTTGTTTTATAGAGATTGTCTGAATTCTAATCTCGAAGCTATGATGGCACAGGAAGGCGTTACGTTTTTTACTACCAAGGAAAAACTGTCCTCCATTAGTAATATGTCAGGTTTTTTTTTGTATGTCACAAACATTAGTAAGAAAAAAAGTATTTATATGAAGCTCTTTTTTTCTCTGATCTTATTCAAAATTACTTTTCTTTTCTCATCTATTCCTTCCGCTTATATATTTGCTATTGCTTTTTCTTTACTTTTTCGATCTTCTGTTATTTTTTAGGTAATTTATATACCTTTTTAAATTGATTTGTTCTAACTGTCAATTAGATCAAAAGCATCAAATTTAAAGCAAGGTAACCAACATGAGTTATCCTAATCAAATCAACCGCAACAGTATCGATAACTCATTGAACAGCGACACTAGAACAATTACAAATCAGATTGAACAATACCCTTCACTTTCGCAAACTCGCTCTCGCGGAGACTATGGAGAAATTAACGGTAATGCTGTCGATATCAACAATGCAATTGAAGAATACAAGTCTGTTGAACGTGAATTGACTCGTCAATCACTTGCAGCTTCTGCTAAAAATAAAGATGCTGAAAAGGCAGAAGCATTTGATTTAACTGAATACCTTTCAGATCAACATTCTCAACTGACAGCTGCAGGCCTAAAGCCTAAAAATATGGGTGTCATTTGGAAAAGCCTCTCCGTCTATGGTCTTGGTGCTGAAGCTCGTTCCATCTCTACCAACCTGTCTGTGATTCTCGATACATTGCAATTCTGGAATTGGGGTCGCAAGAGGGGCACTGATTTTACCATCTTGAACAGCGTTGATGGTTTTGTTAAATCTGGAGAAATGCTTTTGGTCCTTGGTCGTCCTGGTGCTGGCTGTTCTACTCTTCTTCGTGTACTTGCTAATATGCGTGCTGGCTATACTGATGTTGATGGTGAAGTTACTTATGGTAGTATTGATGCTAGGGAATTCAGCAAATACTTCAAGGGTGAAGTTTGCTACAATGAAGAAGAAGATATACACTATCCTACTTTGACCACAGAACAAACACTTCGCTTCGCTTTAAAAAACAAGACACCTAGCACACGTCTTCCTGGGGAAACAAAAAATGACTTTGTTAATGAAATTCTATACATGCTTGGTAACATGCTTGGTTTGACGAAGCAAATGCACACTAAAGTCGGTAATGCATTTGTTCGTGGTCTTTCTGGTGGTGAGCGCAAGCGTCTTTCAATTGCTGAACAGATGACAACGCATAGTTCTATTAACTGTTGGGATTGTTCTACTCGTGGTCTTGATGCTTCTTCCGCACTTGATTATGTTCGTTCCCTTCGTATTATGACAGACATTCAACACAAGACAACTATTTCTACTTTATACCAAGCTTCTGACAGTATTTTTGAATTATTTGATAAGATCATGGTTCTTGACGAAGGTCGTTGTATTTACTTCGGTCCTACATCTCAAGCCAAGCAATATTTTATTGATATGGGTTTCCATTGTCCTTCTCGTAAATCTACGCCTGACTTTTTGACTGGTCTCTGTAACTTGAACGAACGAGAAGTTCAAGAAGGTTTTGAGGGTAAAATTCCCTTAAATTCTGTTCAATTCGAAAAGGCATACAAGGAATCTAACATGTACAAGCAAATGATGAATGAACGTCAAGCATATGAAAGCGAGATCTGTCAAGACAAACCATTTGAAACTTTCAAGGAAGCTTTTGCACAAGCACACAGTTCTTCTTCTCTCTATACTTATTACCAACAAGTCAAGTCACTCACTGTTCGTCAATACCAACTTATTCAAGGTGACAAGATGGCTTTGTTTGTTCGTTTTGCTGATGTGATCATCAAGGGTCTTATTACTGCTTCTGTCTTTTACATGATGCCTTTAGATGGTGCTGGTGCCTTTTCTCGTGGTGGTGCTATTCTCTTCATTGTCTTGATTAATGCTTTTATCTCACAAGGTGAATTGCCCGTCTTTATGGAAGGTCGAGGTATCCTACAAAAACACAAAGGTTTTGCGATGTATCACCCTTCTGCATTCTATATCGCTCAAGTCCTCATTGATATTCCCTTGGTCATCTTGCAAAGTGTTGTCTTTCTTGTTTCTGTCTACTTTATGATGGGTCTTGCACCTGATGCAGGAAAGGTAAATTTACTGTTCTTCTGATTTAGATTTCACTAACTTATCAAATCAGTTCTTTACCATGTTAATTAACTTGATTTTCCTCAACTTATGTACAAATGGTTTCTTCCGTTTCTGGGGCGCCATCAGTCCTAACTTTTATATTGCATCTCAAATATCCAGTATTCTCTTTATTGCCCTTGTTATCTACACCGGTTATCAAATTCCTTATCCTCGTATGCATCCTTGGCTCATGTGGATTTATTGGATTGATCCTTTGGCCTATAGTTTCAAGGCTATGATTTCTTCAGAAATGGCTGGTTCTGTCTATTCTTGTGAAGGTACAAACTCAATTCCTTATGGCGCCTCTTACACTGATCAAACTTATCGTACCTGTATCCTTCCTGGTGGTGAACCTGGCGACAGTTATATTCTTGGCGACACTTACTTGAAATATGTGTATGACTATGACACTTGGCAAAAATGGATCAACTTTGTTGCTGTTGTCTTGTTTTTCTTGCTTTTCACTGCACTTACTGCTCTTTCTATGGAATACATTGAATACAACCAAGGCGGTAGTATCACCAAAGTATACAAGAAGGGCTTTTCTCCTGAAGCTGAATCTGAAGAAGATCAATTGAAGCAAGCAACAAGAGCTGAAGAGCAAGAATTAGACAATGTCACTGACGGTACTACTTTCTCATGGCACCACATCAACTACACTGTACCTGTTAAAGGTGGTACTCGTCAATTACTAAATGATGTGAGCGGTATTGTCAAGCCTGGCCATTTAACTGCCCTAATGGGTTCTTCTGGTGCTGGTAAAACTACACTCTTGGATGTCTTAGCACAAAGAAAGACCATTGGTAAAATTGATGGTGCTATCTACATGAACGGTGAAAACTTGGCAAACGACTTTGAACGCCTTACTGGTTATTGTGAACAAATGGATGTCCATAACCCTAATGCTACTGTTCGTGAAGCCCTTCAGTTCTCTGCTTATCTTCGTCAATCTGCTGATGTGCCCAAGGAAGAAAAAGATGCGTATGTTGAACAAATCCTTGATCTTTTGGAAATGAAAAAGATTGGCGATGCTCTTATTGGTGATCTCTCAGCAGGTGCTGGTATTTCTGTAGAAGAACGCAAGCGTCTCACGATTGCTGTTGAACTTGTAGGTAAGCCTAAGCTTCTTTTCTTGGACGAACCTACTTCTGGCCTTGATGCACAAAGTTCTTTCAACATTGTCCGTTTCATTCGTAAGCTTGCTGATGCTGGTTGGCCTGTGCTCTGTACTATTCACCAACCTTCCGCCACATTGTTTGAACACTTTGATCATTTGATTTTACTCATGAGAGGTGGTCAAACTGCTTATTTTGGTGAAATTGGTAAAGACTCCCGTACTATGATCGATTACTTTGAATCCAACGATGGTCCTAAATGTTCCCCTGAAGCAAACCCTGCTGAATACATTTTAGAATGTGTTGGTGCTGGTACTGCAAGCAAGACTACACAAGACTGGGCTGAGATTTGGAGAAATTCACCTCAAGCTAAGGCTCTTGAAGAAGAACTCGATCAAATTCACACTGGTTTAGATCATACTGTCAAGCGTCCTGTGAAGACCTATGCTCAACCCTTCTGGAACCAATTGATGCTCATTTACAAGCGTATGAATACCTCATGGTGGCGCGCACCTTCTTACAACGTTGGTCGTTTGTTTAATGTCAGTTTTATTGGTCTTATTGCTGGTTTTACTTTCTGGAAAGTTGGTAACACTTCATTTGACATGCAAAACCGTATGTTTGGTATCTTGGTCACTATGTTTACCGGTAACTCATACATTATCTTGATTCAACCTCGTTACATGGAAGAAAGATTATGGTTCCGTCGTGAATATGCCAGTAAATACTATAGTTGGCTTCCATTTGCTCTATCGTGTATTCTAGTTGAAATTCCGTACATCATTGCTTCTGCCGGCTTTTTCTTGGTTATTTACTATTGGACTGTTGGCTTACAAAACGTTTCTGATCGTGCTGGTTTCTTCTTCCTTCAGTTTGTAGCTTACTTGTGTCACTCTGTTTCTTTTGGTTATGCCATTGCTGCTGCTTGTGAATCTTCTGCTTTACCTGGTATTGTGAACCCACTTTTCCTTACCATCTTGTATAACTTCACTGGTCTTTTCCAACCTCCTGCTTCTATGCCTCGTTTCTGGAGCTCATGGATGTACTGGGCTGACCCTTACCATTACTTTATCGAAGGTCTTGTTACCAACGCACTTGATGGTGTCAAAGTAGAATGTGGTGACGCCGATGTGATTAAAATTAGACCTCCTCCTGGCCAAACTTGTAGTCAATACATGTCTAACTTCTTTGCTGATGGTGGTCTTGGCTATATTACTAATCCAGACAGCATTGAACTTTGTAATTACTGTCAATATTCTATTGGTAATGACTATTATGAAACTAGAATTGGATGGTCTTTTGCAAACAGATGGCGCAACTTTGGTATTCTTTGGATCTTTACTGCATTCAATATTGCAGTCTTTGTCGTGTTTGCCTATCTTTTGAGAAAGCAAAAACGATAAATTATTTATTGTACCTCATTTGTTACCATTGATTGTAATTTTACATACAAACATCATTCATTCATCATTCTATAATACACTGTTACAAAAATAAAGCATTGATAGCATACAATTTTATTTACACTAAGCTTTAAACGTATCCTTCGAATTTAAGGTGCATATGCAAGCACATCTTTTCTTGCCTGACTTTTTTTAGTGATCGTCTATGAGAGAACAAAAATAAACGGTTGTATGTGGGGCTTAAGGCAGACAAATAAAAAGTCCAATTTGAATTTTAGTAAGGTGATTTAATTTCATTCTGCTATGTTTATGTTTAATATGCTAGCATTATATAGTAATAGTAGTACATGGAAGGAGGCTTTTTCTTTTGCGCAGTGTAAAGATAGGAGGAGTAAAACAAATCAAATATGAAAAGAAGTATAATAAAAATTATCTTTAGAGGTAATCTGTACCTATGAGAAATGATTTTACTCGACTAAAAGCGAAGATGTACTGGAGTATTGATTGATTTGATCGATCATGCTTATCGAACACAAATCAGAACCTTCATCATTACTATATTTATGCATAGACCAGCCATTGCTTGCGCATAGTTCTTGTTGTCAGGCGATATAATCAAAAGAAGAACTCAGGAAGAACAGGAAATAAAGGAATGACGTCCCAAAGAGAGGGAGAGAGAGAAAGAGAGAGAGAGAGAGAGAATCCATTAACATCATATCTATCTCTTTTACAATAATTTAGCATATATTCTATATTAATGAATCAAATAAAATGCTTTTGATAGCTTGTTCTTTAGTTAAAGATCTTTGACCATGTAAAATAGGCTTAGAATATCTATAATTCAATTTCAATGGATTCTGCTGTATTTTGAGTCATCCTTCTCAAACATAAAAAACTATATATTTTTTTACCGGTGAAACCCTGAAGATGATTCAATTGCATATAAAACAGTAGCTTCAACCATTTGAGAAATGTAGCTTGAATACATTAAATCAATATGAGTTCTTACTAAAATAGATTCTCCCTATTTTTGTAAACAAAAAATTATCACCTCATCTATTTTAAACTCCTGGAAAAAATGAAACCTCAGCCCCAGTGTGGCAAGCTGTATATAAATTACGCTCCTCTCTTTTGCTTTACCTTCTTTTTTATTCACTACTCTTTCTCTCTTAAGCAATGAAAGCTCTATCCTTTGTTTCAATTCTAAGTGCTATCAGTCTAATACTTCCCAATGCAGTCAGTGCTCAGTTAAGCAATAATGATTCACCTTTTCACTGGCTCGACAAACAAAGTATCATTTCACCTTTCGCACAGTCAGGCAAAATGGAACAAATAGGTAGAACTGGTGTAGCTGCTATGCATGCCGTCCTTCTCAAGTAAGAAACGACATAATGTTATTGGTCAACTAATTTAATCTATGCATATATAGCTCAAAAACTATTCTAGTTATTGACAAAGGTAAGAGATTGTCTCATTTTGATCATAACTAATTTCTTTTTTAATAGCCGAATGGAACGAAGCTCAGTTTGATTCAGGTCAAAGCGCATTTTCAGTTCAATATGATATTGAATCCAACACATATCGTCCCTTGCCACTTGAAACAAACACATTCTGTTCAGCAGGTGGTTTCTTGGCTAATGGTACTTTTATTAGCACCGGTGGTGGTGAGAAGCGAGGTCGCGACTGGAAGGCAGAACCTGGTTGGCAATCGATTAGACACTTCCAACCATGTGTCGACAACACATGTCTTTGGAATGAATACAAGACTGGGAAAATGACAGAAAATCGTTGGTATCCTACTGTCGAACAACTACCTGAAGGTGACCTCTTTATCATTGGTGGATCTACCAAGGGTGCAGCTGTTAACCGAGCAGAAATTAATGTCCCCTCTTATGAATTCTGGCCTCCTCGTCCTGAAGGAGAAGTTCCTTTCAAGTTTTTGAACGAAACAATGCCATACAACTTGTATCCTTTTGTCTTTGTCTTGCCTGATGGCAATCTCTTTATTTTTGCAAACAAAAAGTCTATTATTTATGATTACAACAACCAAAAAATTGTAAAAGAACTACCCAAGATTCCCGGTAATCCTCGTTCGTATCCCTTAACTTCTGGTGCTATTATGCTCCCTCTTGATCCAAAGAACAATTATAATGTTGAGATCCTTATTTGTGGTGGTTCTGAGCGTATGAAGAACAATGCTGTTGCTGATGATACCTGCGGTAGAATCAATTTGGGCGATGAAAATCCTCAATGGAAGATGGAGACATTTGTTCATAAGCGTTTGATGCCTGACGGCCTCATCATGGCTGATGGTAATCTTCTCTGGGTAAATGGCTGTCAACGTGGCTGGGCTGGCTATAATGGCCGTAACCATGATCCTACCTTTGATCCTCTTATTTACACTCCTAACGCTCCTGCTGGCAAGCGATGGACACAAAACTTGGCCAGTACTGATATTGCTCGTATGTATCACTCTGTTGCTCTCACTTTACCTGATGGTCGTATCTGGATTGCTGGTTCCAACAATGTAGACCCTCCAGATATCAATGCTGAATATCCTACTGAATTCCGTGTTGAATACTTTTCTCCTCCTTACTTGTTTAAGACAGCTACTCGACCCAAAATCTCACATGTACCTCGCGTAGTCACCTATGGTGAGACGTTTGATATTCTTTTGAACTTGGACGGTTTAGCTCAATCTAAAGAAGATGCTTCCAAGATTCGTGTTGGTCTGCTTCGAACTGGTTTCAGTACACACTCTCAACACATGTCTCAACGTTATGTCTTCTTGGAACATGAAGTTTCTGAAGATTTACAGACCTTGAAGATCACTGCTCCTCCTCGTGCACCCATTTTTCCACCTGGTGGAGGCTTCTTACATGTCCTGTTTGATGGCGTCCCTTCAGTAGGCACAGAAATCTTTGTCGAACATCAAATAAGCGATCTTCAAATCTAATACCAATACAGAGATCTCTGTTGTACCATGTATCACACATAATAATCTCATTACTCATTCATACTTTCTATCTCATCAAATAAACTCATTCTTTATCATTATAACAGTTACATGTATTAAAACTTAAATACTTGATCAGTGAGCTTACTCACTGTTCTAGGAGGCTCGTAGCCCAATTCAGTTGTTGCCTATATATACAAAATATTTTGAGCTTTTAGACAAAATTCTCAATCAACTTACGTTGGTGACAGCCTTGACTAAAGGTGGGGGACCACAAACAAGAATTTTCACATCATTAGCACACTTTGATAATCTTTCAGCCAAGATGTCTTTGGTAATAAAGCCTACACCTTGGTTCCAATTTTCATCAGGTGCTTCGTTTAACACATGGTATATAGTAAATTGATCAGGATGCTTTGCCGCTAATGCTTCTAATTCGCTTTCCAACAAAATGTCGCTCTTTGTGACATTACCGAAAATCAAACTAATCTTTGTCTTGTCATTGGGGTTGCGCAAAATAGCAGCAATGATCTTTTATAAATCAGCTAACAAGATCTACTGTAAGTAAGTTCCTTACCTGATACATTGGTGTAATACCTGTGCCACCTACCAACAAAATGTTTGATATTTGACTCATGAGATGGACAATTCCTTACCTGCTACCATTCCAATTTCTCTTGCCATATTAGGGGTATATGAAAATGCACCTTTAGGGCCCTTGACGGCAATCTTGTCCCCAATGTTGAGGTTGTTTAAATGTTGAGACATCAATCCATTGGGATATGTCTATAGGCATAAGAAACAAGTGCGAGATTTCCTTTTAGACATACCTTGACGATTAATTCAAAAAATCCTTTATCCTGATCACTGCTAGTAGGTGTATAGCTTCTTGATACTTCAACGCCATTGACATTAGCAACTAAAGTAACATGTTGACCAATAGGCAAGCCTAAAAGATCGGTTTTGCGAGGTAAAGCAAAACGATAACTAGAATTTTGTCAATATACAAGCGCAACATATGCGAGTAATTGTCTGTACCGATTGGTATTATGGTTGACAGGTATTTTTTCGACAAGCTTAAATTCTTTAATGGCATGTCTTTCGAGAATACGAGTTGGTTCTATATCGCACGTATCAGTATATATCACCTTATCTTTTTTTCATTATTGTTTTACGTCTAGTTAAATAATACCAGGAACCAACGCCCAAAACAAGAGCCCCAACTGTTGCAATACTAGATAGTATGAATGGCTCTTTAAGAATATGTGCCATTTTCCTGACGGAGACAGGCGCGCGTGAGATAGAAGGACTAGTGAGCTGAGACATATTTATGGTTAAAAAAGTTAAAAAAAAGAGGGGAAAAAACACATCTCATAAATACTTTCACCAGCCCCGCTTGACCCCGCAAAAATCGAGTTCTTATTGGATAGTTTATTTGGATACCTTAGTCAGATTCAATTTGTCATTGTTTGAATGAAAAAAAATTCTTTTTTTATAGGAACATGTTAGTGACAGATACTGAAACTGTATGCCTATATGCAGCCTTTCGTTTATACATTGGTACTTACATGTGAAAAAGAATAGCAAATGCTTCAAAAATGGTAAAATCGATCTTACATAATTCGTTTTCACTCTGTTTTTAAGCGCAAAGAACAGAATTGAGATCCTATGTATCGTCAAAAGAATGCTATGTTTGAGCTTTTGGTTTATTTTGATTCGGGGTATGCAAATGATAGTCTTTTTGTTACATTACAATAATGATTAAACTTTAAAATATACATTAAGTGTTACTTCTTGCTCTTTCTTGTTCAGTGAAGTTTTGAAGTGGAGAAGCAAAAGAAGTAAAAGGGTTCTTTTCTAAACCAGAAGTAATTCTTTGGGCAGGTAATTCGTACTTGATATCCAATTCAGTCAAGATAGACTTCAATGCCAACATAAATCGTGTCTTTCTCTGAAAACGCTTACCAAGATCGGCCCAATTACCCTTGTGAGGCAACCAAGCAGTTAAAATAACTTGATTCATATCAATGATATCAGTCACACGCAAATCAAAGCCAGATCCAAAGTCCCGAGGTTGAGAAAGCACCCACTCAACAAGCTTTTCACGAAGCACCAAAATCAATTCATTGTCTGTTCTGAAATCAATGTTGAACTTGAGTGTCTCACCCATATTTTCTGAACGACGAACATTTGAGATAATCTTTGTCAAAAGAACTGTAGTAGGAGCATACATCTTTGTACCATCAGAACCAACAAATACAGTGCCTAAGATACCAATGTTTTCGACGGTCATGTAGGTACCATCAACCATAACAAGGTCTCCAGAGTCATAAGGATGGGTAACAAATTGGAACATGATGCCTTTAAAGAGGGATTCAGCAGAAGAACCAAAGACAAAGGTTGAGGCAGCTAAAAGGGTACCAATAGGAATCAATGAAGCCCAGAAATCAACATTAAAGATTCTCAAGCAAATACAAGTGGTAACAAAAGTAGAAACCATCAGTAAGAGAACATCGATCTTTCCGAGTGCTTGGCCAGTATCACGAATTGATTGAGCAAGACCCTTACGTTCACGATAGATTTGTACAACTGTATCACGGAACTCACGTCTTGTCAAGTTACCATTACCATCCTTGTCAAACACCTTGAATGCTTCCACGGCTTGATCACGATCTTTGAAATAAGGAATAAAGTTATAGACGTCCAGGTACTTTTTGTTGTCTTCTTCCTGACCACAGTAGCCTTCAGGATAAGCCAATGAATAAAAGAGTTTTTTGGCAACCTTTTTAGCATAATCGTCGGAGTTGATGTCCATCTTGTTCTTATCAACACGGCCAGTTGAGGTACTTGGCTTTTCCGCCAAGACAAAATTGGACACTGACTTTTTGAAGAGAGCAAGAGAAGAAGGATGTTTGTGCGCTTCATCCGTCAGTATTTGAGGATGGATTGGATAAGCATGGCTCTCATGTTTTCCGGCTGCTAAAGGCGAGCGGCGCTTTCTCAAGTTATTGCTTGAAATACCTCCCACTGCACCTGAGGCAGGGCGAGACTTTTTTTCCGATTTACTGAGCGTATCTAAGACTATCAAACGTATGAGGAGATGATATTTGTGTTGTGTAATAAACTTACTCTTTAAACATTGTTTGTTTTCTTTGAGTCTGTCTGAAAAGGCAGTGCGATGGAACTTGACAGCTAAAAATAAACATAGTAAAACGATTAGTACGTTGTAAATGGATATGCATGATATAAAAATACTTACCAATGATTTGGATAACCATTTTCTGGATAAAAAACAAACCTGCAGCAGCCAAAATACAGCCAAATACTTTGGTAACAATGTAAGTGTAAGTGTGTACTTTGAGAGACTATAAAGCTAATAAGTTATTTGAAGATATAGAGAAATGTACATACAGCAAAAATTTGGTTGATCAAGAAGGTCCAAGAACCTAGATTCCAAGCAGCCAATAATACCAAACAGAAATAGCCTTTTAGGCTCATGTAATACTAGTTACTAAAATTAATTTCGATTGGTGAAAAATATTTTTATCCTACCTCCATGTACGACTTGACTTTTTCAGAACGTCTTCCCCGAAAGAGTTTAGTCCAGAGGGAAACTACAGAAGGAACCATGTCCAGCATGAAAGTAGAGACCCAATAAATGTGCCACATAAAGGCAGCCCAATACATCCAACATTGCACATTACTTCTAACATTTGTAAAGTTAGGGTCTTCAAGTTGAGCTTCCGTTGGCTTAGGTAAGGTCAGATAAATAACTATAGCAACCACAATAAAGACACAAGAACCTAAAACAGCAATAATGATGCGTTTAACAATAGGGGAAAGGTAGTGCCAGCAACACGGATTCTGCATAGCAGCAGCAAACCTTTCTCTAGCTGTCTTTCTTCGCTTTGGTTTGATTTGGTCTGGATCGTCGTTCCAATCAAATTCTCGATCACTGTCTACTTCATCGTGTCGTTGTTCTTCTTCTTGTACCTTGCCGCTTTCTTTTTGTTCTTCCTCGCCAGCTGTAGAACTTGTACTGCTATTTATAATAATGTTTTTTTCTTCGTCTTCTAATTGCTTCTCCTCGTCATATTCTAGCTCCTGAATAACCTTATTCGTTTCGCTTATTTCATGAGATTCTTCTGTCAATGTGTCTTGACGGCTGATTGGTTCAAAAGGGTTTTGTAATGTATGCTTGGAGGACCAAGAATCATGTA